TCGCTATCAATAGGATTTGAACACCCAATCTACCACTTGGGGGGTTGACAACCTGACCACTTCACTAGGTTACCACACTCTTATTTAATATAATTTATAATTTTTAAAAATCCAATACAGACTTATAATTGTGATTGTCTAATATTTATAAATTATAAGTTTTATAATCAACACAGTTTTAAAATTATGACTATTTAATTTTTTGTAAATTACAAGTTTTATGCTTTTTTTTCATTTATCTTCTTTCTTTTTTTTATTTTTTGCTTTGTATCTTTTATCATTTATTCTTATATTTTTATTTTTATTTTATATAAAATCTTTTTTTTTGTTTTTTTTTTTGTTTTCTTATAAGAAAACATCATCAGATTAATAATATTCTATTGTAAGACAGCAGTCAGACAAGTAATCTATCTCTGTTTGAAGTAGTATAACAGATTGCATTTAGGTATCAATAAGGTGGCTGAATGATGCTGAACTTAAGTATTAGAAAAATTCTTTGTAATTTGTATAGTTTCAAGAATTCTAATAAAATACTAGCATAACTGCTTAAGTTAAAAAAATAAAATAATATATAATATATTTCATAAATGATTATTCAAATTTTTACTATTAATAAGTTTTGAATTTATAATCTATTACTTAAAAGTTAACAATATATTTATTTTATTAAGTTATTATATCTCTTTTCTTATAGCTCTTAATATACTATTACTAAAATAAAAATATAATAATAATAATATTTAATATTTAGAATATAAAATAAGATTTAGAATTAAAATTTATCTGATTTATTATATAAAATTTTAAACTTAATTAGACAATTCTATTTGTTCAAATTTATTTATAAATAAATCTCAAATTCTAAAAGTTTGTCTAACAAGTATCTCTTAAATTATCAAACAGACAAATTTGTTTACTAAATTTTTTTTAATTAATTTTTATACAATTATCTCACATTTGATTATGACATATTTTCATATTCTCTAAACTAAAATAAAAATACATTATATGCTAAATATCATGTAATTCTTATCTTAAGAAATTTTCTTAATATTACTTTTAAAACCAACTAAATATAATTAACTGTACTATAATCTTTACAATAAATTTAATAATAAAAAAGATATCTTTACATGACAATCATGTAAGATCTTTATAATTATATAAAAATACCTTTCATAATATGATATTAAAATTGATCAAAAATTCTTCATAATCAACTTCACAAAACTGATTTTAAAAACAATGTGAAGAAGATAATATGACTCAAAAGTTCAAATAAAATGACACTTTATAATCATTATGTGAACCTATGCTTTTTATTTAAATCATTTCAAGTATGTCACACTGCAACTATTAAGTGTAACATGTAGTTCAAGCTTTTAGGAATCAGCATAGCTGATTGTAATAAATATCTTCATTAAAAAAATTTTGTTTTTTATATTCTACTTTATCCAATTATTTTAACAGCCAAATTTGCCCGGACGGTTTAAGAGATAATCGCAAGAGGATTATTATTACTAATATAATTATAATGTCGAAAGTGTTTGACATCACGTAAATTAGAGACATTTTGTGAACCTAATAAATACTATTTAGGATTCCTAATCCCCAATTAGTCAGGTTTGCCTCAGCTCTAGTATCCAGATATTCGTAAAAATTGCACTTTTAACTACTAAATCTTGAATCTTATGAAATATGTTTTATTATTCAGTCAGAATTGATTTTTAACAGAACATTATGCAAAATAATTCTCAGAAAAGGATTACATTTCGCTTTCCTACTTGAAAGTACTCTAATTTAAAATTACAGTATCGTTTGTTGACATACCCATCTGAATTGATGAAATTTTTTCCAACAACTTTTTAAAAGCATTCATAACAATATCTTCAGGTTTCATAGATCCGATGGTCTAGAATGTTAAATTAAGAGGTAATGTATAAAATAACAGATTTTAACAAAAACTTAAAAGATATATTAATTACTTCAACTTCAAAATAAAATCTATTCGGTTTGGCATTGAAATCGAATGCTAGAAAATATTGAATAAGTAACATGTCACAAGATATAAAGAATAATCACGATGTTTGACATATATACCTTCACCGTCCCCTGGCGCAAAATCTTCTGCTGCATTTCTGCTCGCCGGCCTAAATGAAAAAAAATTAATATGTTTCGTGCTGTATTGCTTCTCTCTGCTTCTATGTTTTATCATACCATTCTCTCTGTTCGTCCTCTTCAATCCAATATTTTGTATGCCTAAGTTTATTAAATGGATCATATTCAAAAGCAACAGCAGCGCAAGGACTCCATTTAGCATGCTCTTTTGCAACACCCTAAGACGAATCGCTTAGTATGTTTATATAACTTTTCGATAGAGATTGCACTTGTCAAGAAAATTTCTACTCAGGCATTATTCAATTACCCGGTTATCCAGGTAATTTATTTTAACCATCTAATGAAAATTTCTACCAGGGTACAATCTCTACTATTCGAAAGTCATAAGCAAATTTAAGTTGTATTTGGCAAACCTTCTTGGCAATGCATTTCACTTTAATTTCTTGACCTTTGCGAAGTTTAGCAATCAGAATGCCTGGATCCTTTGGTCCTAAATTATTAAATCACGAGTGGTACAATAAAATTCAATCAATATTAAAAGTCGATCCGTAATTTGAGTACTTTAAAGACCTTCTTGAATGGGCGTAAAACGTGGATCGCTGCTGACAAGATCTCGACTAGTAACGTCTTTGGTAATATCTTCTTCTGTACACTTCACATGCATATTTAATTCAACACTACATTCTTTACATGCCCCATTACAATTGCATTCCTTTTTGAAAATCAAGCTTTAATTATGATATAGAGAGAAATAAGATATTTAAAGTTTAAAATTTTCACTTGCCCTGGAATATTTGATTTTTTCTGCCTCAGTACTGTCTAATGGTATTAAACCCAAACGATGTGCAATGAATTCGTCCGCTAACACAGAGGTGTTTAGTTCAAATTCCACCATATCAATAGCTGTTTTCGACAAAATAATATGCATCAATATAAGAAGATTAAATATACATTAGATACTCCGATAGTATATTTTACCTATGGTAGCTATTTCAGAAAGCATTATGCGTCTCAGAGCATTTGCCATGCTGAAATGTGCAAGGTATTAGAATTTTAAATCTTTTACTCGTAGCTGAATCACAAAAAATACCTCAGATCCACATTTGTAAGTATAAATTTGACCTTTTCTGCAGTGAGTTCTTGAATCCTCAGCTCGGGTTTGACACTGCCAGTGTAAGTATCCATTAGATTTAATTTTTAATTATGAATTGCATATTTATATGTTTTAATAACGACGATCATGGACGGACTTTCGTCTGATTGGCTGATGTAGATTAATCGCCTGGGGAATCGACCAGGGCCACTGCCGCAGTTGCATGAGATTCGAAAATTGAAATTCGTTTACGCATTATTTTCTTCTCTTGGACCTTTTATAAAAGCGGTTACAAATTGCAATTTCGACCTTTGAAGCTTCATGCAATTCGGGTGACTGATAAAATTTTAATTCACTATGAATTCTGTACGCGTGAATAAACACAATGGTTGCATCTGTCACGGTTAATATATACCGTATAGAATGTTTTAGGCGTTCGTAAAGAAGCGAGAGTGCATATTTGCATTTGACCTTTAAATGCTTCATAAACATTCGATTAAATCATTACCAAGCTTTAAAATCGGATAATTTGCTTCGCCTCGGCAATAACAATAAGGCGGTAAATACTTCATGTGATATTGTTTTTTTTTTTCGTTTTGAACCTTGTTATATCTATACAGGGACGCCATAAGGCGTGCTTTCATGTGATATTATTCAAATAGTATGGGTAGCATCACTACTTGAATCCCGAAGGAAACATGAAGAAAGGTTTAACTTTACGAAACAGTGTGATACTAGTTTGGATTACATCGCTAGATGCGAGATTGGAAATTTTTTTGTAGCTATATCTTCGATTTAGTTAGTCTTGTAAATAGAAAAATTGCTTTCTAATAGATATGGTCTATATTTTTAATTTAATTTTAGTTTTAATATTTATATTTTTATCTTTAAAATTAAAATATTTGTTTTAATATATAATAATTATATAATTAATAATTAGTTACAAGAGAGTTAATAGGATAAAAATATAAAAAATATATATTTATATATTTTTTTTAATGTTAAGATGAGTACTTGTGACCTAAAAGTTTATTGGTAATAGTTAACTTATAGTTATTGTGTACAGCAATTACAGAAACAATCATGAAAAAAGTATACAACTGGTCATTTGTACAACTTTAGTTATTGTCTATTTTAAGTAATTCACTTGAAGGTTTTATACTAATTATTATACCTAGAACCTGCCTATAAGTTTTTTATTTAAATATTCTAGTTTCTGTATCTACTTCTATTCTATCAATTGCATATTAAATGCAAATATACTATAATCACTAAGTTATATTTAACTTTGTATTAAACTTACTAGAACCTTCTATATCCTATACTTATAGCTAATCTAGTATCACTTTGGCCTAGATTATTACTTATAATTAGGATTAATAATTAAACTGCTATATTCTTATAAAGTTAACTAAAATCCTGATATCTGCTTTTCCAATCTCTTCTTTTTATTCTAAATCTACAAAACTTTCTAAACTACTAATTCAGATAACCTAATATGATATTCTAATATCCTTTTCTTTAGTAATTTCTGATGAACTGGTTAGTATATGTTTTTCTATATATATTGTCATTTGATTCATCTTAGCTGTTTCTTTTGAGATTTTTGATGGTTTAGTAATATAATTAAAAGTTCATACTACCTTTTTACTTAGGATTTTCAAGTGAGTTTTATACTTTGGTTTCTTAGTATATATGTCTAGTAGTCTTATAATAAGTTTGTACTAAAGTCTTATACAACACTAGTTTTTTAATATTTCTTTATATATATGTAATATTACATTTTATATAAATGTTCCAAGCTTCTATTCAAAATAGTATCTCTAAGGTTTCAGATTATCACTTCAATTCAACCAACTAACAAGACACTGTTATCATAATACAGATATAATTTTCAAATTTTGTTATTTATAAAATATAAGTACTAGACCTAGTATTTGAAGATTGACAATCTGTTCATTTTTTTTACTAGATTATTATACTTCTTATTTTTTTTATTTTTTTTATTTTTTTTTTAAATATTAATGATAAAATTACTTCTTATTTTAATTTTTTTTTTTTTTTTTTTTTATTAAGGTGACCTCTTTGGTCTTTTGACTTTTATTAATCACTTATCGGTATTGTGG